TTTTTGCAGATTATTCATTTAGATATCAGTGCTATGTAAATGTCTTGATAAATGATACGTATTATGTAATTGTCGATTCCAAGTCAAATAAGGCCTGTGAGTTACGGTGTGTTACGACTATAAAAAGAAAAAAAAAAGAAAATCAATATCTCCTTATTTGATTTCAATTTCTCTTTGTAAGGGGAGATATCGATGAATGATTTCTACTCGACAATTATAGATTTCTCTACAAGAAAAACGATTTCTCCTAGAACGTATCTATAAAAAGAAAAAAAAAGAAAATCAATATCTCCTTATTTGATTTCAATTTCTCTTTGTAAAGGGAGATATCGATGAATGATTTCTTCCTGTCGCTTGCGGTATTGTCTCCGTAGTGAATGATTTGCATAATGGATTGTGGTTGCTGAAGAAGCATTTCTGCTTGACTTTATGGGGGTTGAAGTCTTTCTGCTGGAAATGGAACAATATCTCGATTTTTGGGGATGTCGTCCAGCCCTCGTACAATATTGTGCATTGAATACACTTTTTTTATTATTACATTTCGGACAATTGCTAAAGATTCCTTGTGAAAATATGTCAATGACTTTATAATATGATGGTGGTGGAGTAGCTGGAGCAATTGCATATTGAGAGTATTGTTCGTCATGTAATAATACTGTAACTTCATCGAGATCTGGCACAAGCACAGAAGTAGCCGAAGTCTCAGCAGGTGAATCTAATCGAATTGATCTCCAATCAATTGGTTGACGTACAGAAGATAATGTTGCTGATGCTGCTTCCTGCTGTTGAAGATGAAATGTTATAGTCAACTAAGAAAAGATACTGTAGTGATTCTGAAGAACATAAGCAGCTTCGAGTACGTAGTAAAGCTTTTGAAGATAGTAAAAACATCACTCAGTAAATGCATACGTACTTTTAATCTTTCGTCTGACGCTCTATTGCCAATTTTTTCTATGAGGCATTCGGTATAGGCTATTTGATTAATAGTCATAAATTCTTCATCTACAATTCTTTGTATGTCAGATTGTAATTTTCTGAAACGTTTCGCATCACTCTTTTCAATACATTCAACACTGGTAATGCAAAAGCCAGGGCCACATATAGACGCAATGACCATTGCCAACCTGTCACAACATAGGAATAAACATTTCGTTAGTAAAATGTTATGTTTATCTTAGAATTTATTTAGCCATTTGGTTGAGTTCTAAGTTTGACTATAGCATAAGGATGAATTGTATACTAATTGTACAATTGTATCATCAGCGATTAAGTTGTCCATATCTCTTGTTCGTAATCATTGAGTGATTTAAAAATTTTACATAATTCTGTTAGTAGTGCCATACGCTTTTGAAATTCCAGCATCATATTATAAAGTCATTGACATATTTTCACAAGGAATCTTTAGCAATTGTCCGAAATGTAATAATAAAAAAAGTGTATTCAATG